CAAATTACCTCAGAAATTGAAAGGGGCGCCATTTTACTTCTTGCCCTGGGCGCCAAAAACTCCAATTTACGCCACTGGAAATATTTACTCAAATTACATAGTGTTGAAACATACACTATGGAAATTACTGAAATGCCACAGGTTTTGGAAGGCTTGTGTTTGAAAACAGTAGCAAAATATGTCTTAAATATTAGCTGCAGTATTTTATATGAAATCAACCAATATTTTCACCTTTATATTTTTTTTATTTCCCTTTATAAGAATTTTTTTTTTCCATTAAGTATGACATTACTGATAGGCTCGCTTATCATTTTATTATTTCACCATACCATAAATTATAAATTCAATGACCTTTTGTTACTTCTACTTATGTGAAATGGATTGCACTCATGAATATTAATGTATATTGATCACATCATCAAACCATTATATAACCCTATACATTTTAAATATTCCTGTCAGTCACTTTCTTGAACTTTTTTTATTCGAGAACAGCCAGCTGTTGGGTATCAAACAATCACAATAAATTTGTTGTCTTAAAAGTTGTTTATTTCGGTTTTCTTTGGTGGGCAACACCAAGGAAAGTCAGGAAAGTTATTTATAGTGGGATGTATCCACCTAGAGACAATTTTCTCTTTCGAAAACTGGGCACAGCAAAATCATTCTAGTAGACGGTTTTCAAATACTCACTAAGTGTGCAGATATTGAGTTGAACTGGAAAGAGAGGTAATGTTAGGGTCAGTGGTGTATCTGAGAGTCTTGAAATGGGTGCGGTGGGGGGGTGGGTGGTAGTGGCTGATGGGTAGTGCAAAGGTGGAGATGTGTATAAGAGACAGAGACTTCAGAATGCATTATTAACTCCAGCATTAAATAAGCATAAGCTAGATTATTTTTAGGCTATGTTCAGACTTGGAGTTAAGCCCAGCTCAAGATTAAGCCCAGCTTAACTTTGCCGGGTGTTCAGACTAGCTGGATTAGACAGGTGCGAGAACCGAAAGTTAAATTTGCGTATTTATAAACCGGAAACAGGAAATGATTTCCAAAACATTGTGCACAAAACGTACGTTCGCTTACAGCACGCCAGCAACTGCGTCATTGAATGCTGGTTGGTCAATTATTGATACACCGAAGTGATTAAAGCCTGTCTTAGAAACGTTAGAGCGGGTGGCACGCCAGGCCTAGTATCTATAGGGACAACGCCTGGCTTGAAAGGCACCTAGTTCAGACTGGAAGGTGGATAAGCTCAATGAGTTGAGTTTATCCACCTAGTTTGAACTATACCAGAGTCCATAAAAATCATGCAGCTTGCTATTAATTACATTTTGTTTCTTCATAATTTAACTTTGGTTTTACAGGAAATCAGTGATGGACAGCAAGGAAACAGCTGACGAGTTTAAGGGAAAATTAGAGATGATGTTCAGTGGTGCATTTTCATGTCTCAAAATTATGACTGGCCTTGAGGTGGGACTTTTTGAGGTTTTGTCACAATTCACAGAACCTAAGTCATATGTCGAGATTGCAGATGCAGGAAAGCTGAAACCAAGGTACAACCAGGTACTATAGTGATATTTGGGGTTGGGTGTTGGGGTCTTAGGCGTTCGTTAGTTAATATTGCTAGGAACAATGTGTAGTACAGTACCTGTATGATTAATAATTGTTTAGATAATTGAATAATATTTTTTTACAATTTCTCAAAGCTCGGTTGCAAAGAATGGAAGAACTGCAAAATTCTTCCTCTATCAAATGTGGCACA